TTATTTCCGGGGTGGAGGGCTACAGATGCAGAATGTTGCATACGCTATCAGTTAGTCAACGTATTGGTTAGTTTTACTAAGCTGCTTTTTTTTCTCTTTCTTGTTTAATCTTTGTTAAAAAGGGTTGCTTCACCAGGTAGGGGAAGAAGAAGGATATATCTGGAAATTAATGTGATTCAAAAAAATATAAATAAATTTTAAATAATAAAAATTTTAAAAACAAACAAGAGAGCAAGCAACCTGATATGCCTTTTGGTGACAGCTGGTTATGACTGTAAGAAAGCAGACCCAGGCAGAGCCTGTGAAATACGGTAAGAGGTAGTGTGATATAGGGGAAAGGGTTCAGGATTTGGGGTCAGAGGACCTGGATTCAAATCCTGACTCTGCCACTCATTGCCTATTGTCACCTAAGGCAAGTGAGTGCACTCTCTGGACCTTAGAGTAAAATGAACCCCTTTTAGACTCAATAACCTCTGAGGTCCCTTCCAGTGATCAGTCTGTGAGGCCAAAGGAATTAAATGGAGTTAGCTATTGAATAGGAAATCATGGGTCTGTAGAAAGAACAAGGAATCTGAAGTGAGAGGACCAGGTTCAAATTCTGGCTCTGACATTGACTTTGAACAAGTCATTTTTCTTCCCTAGTTTCTTCATCTCTCAGATTAGATGGATAGTCTCAAAGGTCCCTTCCAGCTCTAAATCTTACGCCCAGGTTATCTACGACTACAATTGTCCTCTTTAAAATGTTTGGTTCCTCTATGACCAGCTTCCCACTCGGGAAAAGCTCTCCCTCCCTCTAAACTCCAGCACTGAGGGCAAGACACTCCCTGCCTCCAATCCCTAGCCTTCCTATCTCCTCTCCTTTCCTTACCTCACCCCATCAAAACCGTTACCTCTCCTCCCATTCCTAACCCATCACAGGTGATGTCACAGGTGATGCTCTAGGGAAGAAAACACACCCACATCCTCTTACACACACACACACACACACACACACACACACACACACACATATTATTTTTTGCTCTATGAGTACCATCTGATGGCATGTGGGCCAAGCTGAAGAGAGATGCTTTTGGGCACTGCCCAGAATTTCCCATCCCACTCCCCACTCCTTCCCCATCTCTCATAAAAACCACCAACAAAGAAACCCAGACACCTTAATGAGGAAGAAAGATTTTGTTTCTAATTCCAAGCCCACCCTTGGCATCATGCTACTCTCCTGTCCTCACCCCCAAATATCTTCCCCAAGCTATGGCTTGATTTCTTAAAAGCAGAAATAAGAAGGTCCCATGTTCTGTCTCCCCCTCTGTCTCTGCTCTGTTCTTTCATTAGCTGTTGTTGTTGTTCAATCAGTCGACTCTGACTCTTATGGCCTCATTTGGGGTTTTCTTGGCAAAGATACTGGAGGGGTTTGCCATTTCCTTCTCCAGCTCATTTTACAGATGGGGAAACTGAGGCAAACAGGGTGAAGTGACTTGCCCAGGGTCACACAGCTGGTAAGTGTCTGAGACCAGATTTGAACTCAGGAAGATGATTCCAAACCCAATGCTCTATCCACTGCACCACCTAGCCGCTCCTTTAGTAGTGCTCCTCTGACCATGTTCCCAGAGACCTTGGCACCTGGGAGAAAGTTCTCTCCCCAAGGCTCTAGCTCAAAAAGACTGACCATAGGATCACAGATTTAGAGCTGGAAGGGACCTTAGAGATCACCTAGTCCAATCCTCTGCCTCCATGTTACAGATTAGGAAACAAGCCTCAGAGTAGTTAAGTGACTTGCCCAAGGTCACTCAAGTAGTAAGTGACAGAATCAGGATTTGAATCCAAGTCCTCTAACTCAAGAACCAATGGTCTTTCCACTGTCTCCCTCAGAGTTCTTAGGGTAAAGGCATTTCTGGAGTCAAGGTAGAAGCTGTATTGTTTAATGGAAAGAGCAATGGATTGGGGGTTATGGGACATGATTTTGAATCATGGCTCTGCTATGTACTACCTGTATAATCTTGAGCAAATCATCTTGCCTCCCTGGCTGAAGATTCTTCATTAGTAAAATGGCAGCAGCCAGACTAGGGGAAGGTTGGAGGGAGAGAGGGAGTTAGAGGGTTTGAATGGATCACCTACAATCCTGTGACCCAATTCTACTGACAACAAGCAGCATGAACTGAACGAGTTCATGGGAGCGAATAAGTATAATATGGAGGAGGCCCCTACCCTCAAGAGACCCACAATCTGTTTGGAGGAAATTAAACACACACAGAAAGAATATGTGAAAGGAATTAAAAGAATATCTGAAGGGAATTAATGAGCATTATTCATTATCAACTGCATAAAGTACTTTTGTTGTTCAATCAGTTTAGTCAATCTATTCTTGGTGATCCCATTTGGGGTTTTCTTGACAAACATACTAGAGTAGTTTGCCATTTCTTTCTCCAATTTATTTTACAGACAAGGAAACTGAGGTAAACACAGTGCCCAGGGTCACACAGCTAGTAAATGTCTGCGACCAGATTTGAACTCAGGTCCAGTGCTCTATCTTCTGTGCCTCTTAGCTACCCAGGGTATACTCTTCTACAAACTGACTAGCTACAAGCAAGCCATCTGTCATCCCTATGTCTCAATTTCTTCTGTAAAATGGTGGGGTTTGGGTTAAATCAGAGGTTCTTAACTTGGGATCTGTGAAATTTTGTAAAATATATTTTGATAACCGTATTTCAATATAATTTGTTTTCTTGGTATTCTTGTGTATTTTATGCCTTTAAAAACATTATTCTGGGAATCATAGGCTTCCCTAGCTGGCCAAAGTGACCCATGATCCAAAAAAGGTTATGAACTCTAGGTTCTATGATTTCTAAAGTCCCTCCTCTCTCTCCAGCTCTAGCCATCTAGAATTCCAAGATTCTAAGGGCCAAGGAGGTACAGAATAAAGATTGGGTCAAAATGGGGTGCTATTTATGAAGGAAGGCTTCACAGAAGGGACTATTGGGTTTGGTTTTTAAGAAAGGGAGGAGGTGGGGCACCTAGGTGGCACAATGGATAGAGGACTTGAGTTCAAATCCAGCCTCAGACACATAACACTTACTAGCTGTGTGACCCTGGGCAAGTCACTTAACCCCATTGCCTAGCCTAAAAAAAAAAAAGAAAGAAAGGGAGGAGGCAAGAATGAGCAGAGAGGAATCAGGAGTAAATTTTAGGGAGAGGGTATAGAGATGGCACATACTTTACTAAGACATGGAAGCAGGAATGATCACATCCATTTTCACAGAATAGGCACTCAAATACATGAATGAATGGTTGAGGGTACAATGATGAAGAAGAAGAATGAAATATGGAGATTTTGAGAAGGACCTTGAATCTAGCTGAGCAGGTGAAATTTAACATAATTAGCAATAGAGAATCAGGGAGCAGGGTAATGACATGAAGCCTTTGAAGACCATTCTAGCAGCAGTGTGCAGGATGTATTGGAAGGGGAGAAGAGTATGTAAAGGTTGTTTTACAGGATCCAGGAGGTGATGAAGGCCTAGATAAATTTGATGGCACCCACAATCCTCACACCAGACTGACTTCACACTAACCCTTTCCTTTCTCCCTTCCTAGGCTACAGGACTCCAGAGGGCTGGGAGATGCCCTTATTTTTAACAAGTTCCCCCATTCACAGGGTTAGTCCCTTCCTTTGAACAACATTCTTCCTACTACCTACATAATACCTATATTTCTGGAAGGGAGAGAAGAGGAAATGCCATAAAAGATGACTGGGGAGAGGGTTCTGAGGGAATTCTGGGAATGAGGGTGTTAGATTAGAATATGACTGATATGAACTGCTTTGGGACCAAAGCTATAGGGATAAATCTACTGGATATATGGCAGAATGCAGGAACTATGCACACGCACACACACACACACACACACACACACACACACACACACACACACACACACACCCCAAGGCCCCTACAATTCTCACCATATTTCCCAAATGCTAGTAGAGTAGCTAGGTTGGAAGCCATTGTTCTGCCAATCAACTTTCTTCATTGGAAGCTGTCCTAAGGTGAGGCCACTTCTCTGACGGGCTGAAGAACCTTATAGGCACAAGAACAAGGCTAACCTTGCTCTTAAGTGATGCTTCTATAATATCATGGTGTGATTTAGGAAGAAGGACCAAAAAAAAAGTGCTTCTCTTATCCTCTGGCTTCTACCAGAAATTCCATCCCTCTAGCTAAAGGCTGTGATCCCAGTTAATGGTCAATCTTTGTTAATGCTGTTATCAGCCATTTGCACCTCAGTGGGAAGGAGTTTATCAGCCTTCTTTTTCAGAGAACTGTTGATGTAGGAAGGGATATGGGGACCAGAAACAAATAGGAAGGGGACATGGGAGCCCTGAGAGCCACCAAGGGGTACAGAATGGAGAAGCCTAGGATGCTAGGAAGAAATCACTTCGAATTGGGGTAGGGGAGGGGTTTGTTCAAAGACAAACCTGGACTAGATCCTTGATATATAAAGAGAAGACCAAGCTGGACATCAAGAGTTTCATCTCCCAGGCTTCACTGCATATTTCCCTTCTTCAGGTGTTTGCTCTCTCTCTTCCCCATTTTTTCCTAGCTTCCCATACAGCCATAACACAGAGCACAAACTTTCCTGATCTGATCTGGGCTACCCTCACTCCTAAGGCATTATTTTGTACCTGGGTTCCCCCCACCCCACAACACATCCCCACCTAGCAGGTCTCACACCTAAGGGCTGGGAAGGAGATATGGATAGACTGGATGAGGATGGGATGAGGACTGAGCAAAGCAGAGGTTTAGCACATCCAAGAGGAGAAACGTGAGTTCCTGGGGGACTCAGCTTTAGGGAGTAGGTGTGGTGGGGATACTCACACAGCCACGGAGGGACAGACGGAAAGGTCCTGACTAGGATTGAGGGATAGAAGCCAAGGGAGCTGAAGGAGTCTGTCAGTCCCCTGGGAGGAGAAGCCCCCTTATTAGTCATTTGGGGGAGCCCTGGCCACTCACCTGCAGGAAACGGTTATCTCCACCTTGGTGGCTGGAATGCTGCCTGCCAGGGAGTCGAACTCACTCACTGACGCCATATCCTCCGGCTGCTCCATTGCCCGGCTAAGCCCCCAGCACAATTGCCCACTCCTACTGCCCCCTTCCTCGGGGGGGAGGGGGCGGGCAAAATGAAGCCTTTAGGGTCTTCTTCTGGGGCTCCCAGCAGGGCGGAACCAGCACGCCGGGGGGTAGCTGAGTTCACCCCCAACTCAGGGACGATGGGCAGGAGAGAGAAGAGAAAAGGAGGGAGAGAAGGGGCGTGGGAAGAGTGAGAGAAAGCGGGGAAGTGGAGAAATGAAGAGAAGGGAGAACAGAGGATATGGAGAAGGAAAGGGGGAGAGAGCAGCAGCAGGGAGAGAAAAAAAGAGATGTGGGGAAGTGGGTGGGGAGAAGGAGATGGGGAGAGGGAGGTAGAGATGAGAAGAGGGAGGTAGGGATAGGAAGTGGAAAGAGAGAGATGGACAGTAGGAGACAGAAAGAGATAAGAGATAATATAAGATGAGAAGGGGAAACGGAGGGGGGTAAAAAGCAAGAAGGGAAGACAGAAGAGGAGAAAGGGAGATGGAAAGAGGGGCGCAAAGGAGATGAGGAGAGGACTGCTGGAGAGAGAGATGGGAAGAAGGGTATTGGAGGAGATGGGGAAAGGGGTGTTGAAGACAGGAAGAGGGGGGTTAAAAGGGAGAATAGGAGAACGGAGAGGGCGGGACGGAGGAGGAAGAAAGGGGGAACGGGGCTGGATAAGTGGGGGACGCAGGGATCTAGGTGGCTGCGTGGTCGGGCTCCAAGGCTCGCCTCTCTCTAGTCTCCAAGCGGGCGATCAAGGCTGGAAAACTGGCTGAGAGCGCCGCCTCCTCTGCTCCAAGGCAGCCGGGCTGCGGGAAAATCAAATTTCCCCAGCTCCAGCCACCTTCCCTTCCCAGACCGAACCAGCCGGGTGTACGCGGATGGACTGGGGGACTCCGGCGAGGAGGGGCGGAGACGGTTCCTAGAAGTGGCAGAATAAGGGCGGGGTCCTGGCGGGGAGGGGGATAACAGCGGGGCTCGCGTTGGGGGTGGGTCCCAGCCTGTGCTGCTGGTTGGGGCGGGAGTGGAGGAGTTGGGGGGGGGTGTTGGAAGGGGAGGCAAGTGAGATGGGGGAGCAGGTTTGGCTATGCTAGGAGAAGGCAGGCAAAGGTCTCGGCTTCTGGGGTATCAAGAGGCCGGCAAGGTGTTTGGTAAGGCCCAGGTTTGGGAGAGAACAGATGAGAAGCAGGACTAAGGTGAAAGGGGCGGATGGGCAGGAGAGGTGGACTGAGGGCTAGGGAGGATGCGTGGGAAAAAGAGGGAGAGAGAGAGGTATGAGGTGGCGGGAGAAAGAGGCCGAGGTCTGGGGAGGTATTTGTCATTAGGAGGAAGAGAGGGGAGTCCGAGGTTTCTCTGTGTTTTAGACAGGGATCGAGGTTTGGATGTGAAGGGAGTGGAGACTAAGGGGGAGGGCTCAGGGTGTGTGCTATGGAGGTATTCTTTAGACTTATAGCAAAGGGCACCGCAAGCTGAGTGGAGGCAGTTGCCAATTGTGTGTGATGGGTGAGCTGGTCAGGTAAAATGGGGATTCCCAATGACGAAACGATCGACTGGAGGTTTTACACGGGTATATCTGTGAAGGGGTAGTCTAAGGTAGGGGTGTGTGTGTGTGTGTGTGTGTGTGTGTGTGTGTGTGTGTGTGTGTGTGTGTGTGTGTGTGTGTGTGTGTGCACGTGTGTGGTGTGTGTTTCCTTATGTGGGGGCGGGGGGGGGGGAAGGGAAGGGCATCCCAGCGTCGTGGAGGCAGCCAGTTAGCTACCTTTGCCTCTCTAATCTCTGGCATTAGTCTTAGGGTGATATGTTGGAAAGACCACTGATCTGGGGTCAAAGGACCTAGTTTAGAGTCATAGAATAACAGGGTTGTAAGCGAGTCCAGAAGCCACCCATCAAACTCAGGTGAGCAAGAATCCTCCTTTACAAGTTGGGTGATACAGACTATTTCTATGGTCTCAATTGTTCTCCCTATTACCCTCTCTTCCCCTTTCTAGCTCATCCTCTCTACACAGCTGCCAGAATAATTTTTCTTAAGCACAGATTGGACCATGTCACTCTTCACCTCAATAAATTCCTGAGGCTCTCTTTTGCCCTAAAATAATAGTAGCTAGGATAGATAGATATTTATATTTATATTTACGACAGCTAAGTGGCACAGTGACTAGAACACTGGGCCTGAAATCAGGAAGACTCATCTTCCTGAGTTCAAATCTGGCCTCAGACAATACCTATGTGACCCTGCACAAGTCATTCCACCCTGTTTGCCTCAGTTTCCTCACCTGCAAAATGAAGATAATAATAACACCTACCTTCCAGGATTGTTTTGAGATAACCAAATGAGATAATAATTGTAAAGTGTTCAGCACAGGCTGGCACAAAGTAGGTGCTATATAAATGTCAGCTGTTATTATTAGCTATTAGTTATTATATAGCACTTTAAGGTTTTCAAAGCACTTTATATATATCTGATTTTATCCTCACAACAATAGGTAAGGGCCATTATAATCCCCATTTTACAGATAAGGAAACTGAGGAAGTTAGAGGTTAGGTGACTTGTCCAGGGTTGAACAGTAAGTGTCTGGTATAGGATTTGAACTTGGGTCTTCCTGACTTGAGTTCTATCTACTATATCATCCAGCATAGTAGGGGCATAGTGAGACAGCTAGGTGGCATCCAAGTGGCCCAGCGGATAGAGCACTGGGTCTGGAGTCTAGAAGATCTCAGTTTAAATGTGACCTCAGATACTTATTTAGCTGTGTGACCCTGGGCAAGTCACTTAACCCTTCTTGTCTCAGTTTCCTCATCTGCAAAATGATCTGGAGAAGGAAATGGCAAACCACTCTAGTATTTTTGCCAAGAAAACACCAAAAGGGGTCACAAAGAATTGGACACAACTGAAAATGACTAAACAAAAATTTTTCCAGTCTCATTATATATTACTCCCCTTCTTCACTCTAAGGTTCAACCAACCTGGCCTTCTCTCTGTTCCTCTCACAGAGCACTCCTGTCTCCTACTGTCTCCATGTCCCCCAGTGCAACTCTTCCATATCATCACCTCATTTAATCCTTCTCTTCCTTTAAAAATTGCTCAAACACCGTCTTCTGCCAGAAGCCTTTTCCGATCCCTTCCCCACCCCACTTCCACCTTGCTGGTGCCCTCTGTCCATAACAACCTCGTTTTAACTACCTTGTGTGCATTTTGCATTTATTCTGTTAGGTGTATGCAGGTTGTTTCACCTATTAGAATGCAAACTCCTTGAAAGTAGGGAGTATTTCATTCTTTGTTTTGGCATGCCTAGGGCCTAACACAGTGCCTGGAACATGTTGGTCAGTCCCATCTGACTAACTCTTTCGTGACCCATGGACCATATGGCCATCTCCAGTTATCCTGATCTATATCTTGCCACCGGACCCAGATGGCTCTGGAGGAGAAAGTGAGGCTGGTGACCTTGCACAGCCCTCCCTCACTTAAATCCAATTCACTTGCATGTCTTGGCATCACCTCTCTGATGTTATGGTCCTCTTGGAGAACGGAGGACAGACAACAATGACAACAACCATGGACTGTAACTCAGTAGGCCCCTGTCCATGAGGTTTTCTTGGCAAAGATACCGGAGTGCCATTTTCTTCTCCAGTGGATCACCTTCTATCAGAGCTCTCCACTTTACCTGTCTTGGATAATCCTACACAGCATCACTCATCGTTTCACTGAGCTAAACAAGCCCTTCGGCCACAACAAGGCAGTGATCCGAGAGGGGCCTAGAACACAATAGGGCCTTAATAAATGCTTGATGATTGATTGATTGACTATGACAAGTCACTTAGGCTCCTTGAGAGGCAGCATAGCCTAGAACTAGGGTTCCTAACCTTGTGCCCCTTGGCTTGCCATAAAGCTTCCCACTACCTATTCAATAGGAAAAGAATCAATTCTAGAATAAACCACACATAGCACATCAGAAATAAAATTAAGGATTAGTTTTTCATAAGGAAAACCTTACACGTAAGATTGTTTTCACTTATAGGACTACTACTTTTGCAATATTTCAATAAGATAATTTAGTCATTCACAAAATATTCCCCATACTCCCTTGAAAAGTAACCCTGAGGGTCTCTTGTTCCAGGTCTTAGAAGACAGCGAGTTCCCTTGGCGTCAAGAAGACCTGGATTCAAGTCCTTTACCTGAGATATACTCCTGATCTAAGCATTTTTCTAAGTCAATAAATTAGAAGTGAGTTGTTGAGCAAAGGTCATACCTCTGGGCAAACAGACTCCCACCCCACCTTCCTTTCCCAGCTCTAGCCCTGTGGTATCCCGCCTTTTCACCTGTCTTATCTGTAAGGATGGTCTAAGGATCTGGGAGCACCAGTCACATCTCTAGACAAATGGACTGACCCATTCCCCCCCAGTAGCCTCTTTTCCCTGTTCTAGCCCTAACTACTCCACCTTCCTTTTCTTCCTCCATCTCTGGTCTCTACTCCTTCATCTAGGTGAAGGGAATAAGCCTCTATATAGAGCCTACTGTGTGCCAGGCACTGTGCTAAGTGATTTACAAATATTATATCATTTGAACTTTGGGAGGTAGATGCTGTTATGCTTGTCCCCATTTTGCAGACAAGGAAACTGAGATAATCAGAGATTTAAGTGACTTGCCTAGGGTCACACAGCTAATAAGTGTCTGAAGCTGGATTTGAACTCAGGTTTTCCTGACTCCACTGTGTTACCCACCTCAGTGGATAAAAACATCAAATAAATACCGCTAGGTAGCACAGTAGATAGCATGCCAGGCCTGGAGTCAGAAAGATTCATCTCCATGAGTTCAAATCTGGCCTCAGACACTTACTAGCTGTGTGACCTTGGGCAAGTCACTTCACCCTGTTTGCCTCAGTTTTCTCATCTGTAAAATGAACTGGAGAAGGAAATGGCAAACTGCTCCAGTAACTTTGCCAAGAAAATCCCAAACGAGGTCATGAAGGGGCCATACACAACTGAAAAATGACTGAACGACAACAACAAAAACAGGTAAGTGACAGAGTGGATAGAAGCATCTATCTCATGCTTCCATTATGGTAGGACTAAGGCATATCTAAGAAACCCAAGACAGCAAGAAGCTGAGCCCCGAGGGTCTCCTCTCCCACCTCACCCAAGCATCTGACTCTTGTCTTTTTCTCTGCCTACAACACCACCATAGTCACTTCCACCAGTTCCCTTACCTTACCTTCCAACTCTGATGCTGTATACACTTTCAGAAAGCCTCTTCAAGAATCTTTTGGCCTATCTCCAGAAAAATCTTGCTTCCCCTT